CGTGTGTCTGAATGAAAGAAGGACCGGTCCATATGAATGTGATTTAATGTGGTATGTATGCTTGATGGTTGTGTTAGTTACATAAAGGAAGGTCTGGTCTTGTAATTTTCTCAATACTTTGTATTGTAAACTCTCCTTTCCTCCTTCCTTTCATTCTCAGTCTGAGTCTTCACGTGGGACCATTAAAGGCAAAGGAGCAATTGAGGTTTTCTGGTCAGGGCTACTCCCTGATGTAAGCCAAAGGCTCTTAGCCCTCTTAGTGGACCCCGACTGCCCACACGGGTGGAGACAAGGCAGCTTTTCTGTATCTCCTTCTCCTCTCTGTTTTTCTCTCTCTCTGGCCACTGAAACAGCCCCGCGGGCATGGGTCGAGCAAATAAAAGCCATAAGGCACTCACCGTTAAAAGACTCCCGTAAAAGAATAAGGGGGTCCCAGAGGTGAATCCCAGATAAATTCACGTCCCCCGTAGAAGAAAAACTGGGCAACGTTAGGTACTTGTTCATAAGCACACCCACTGGTCATTATTATTTGGAGTGGCATATTCTCACTTTCTTTCCTTCTTACTCTCCCCCTCTCCTGTCTGTGACCTCCACTATGGGTCAATCGCTAACTACCCTTTTAAGCTTAACTCTAGAACACTAAAAGGAGGTCGTGGAGAGGGCCCACAACTATCATTAGAGGTCCAGAAGAAGAAGTGGCAGAGTCTCTGTTCCTCTACATGGCCCTCTTTTGAAAAAGGATGGCCAAGGGATGGGACTTTTGACCTTGCTACTATCTTGCAGGTTAAGGAATACATTTTCCACCCAAGACCACACGGACATCCGGACCAGGTGGCCTACATAGTCACCTAGGAAGACTTGGCCCGGAACCCCACATCTTGGGCACGGCCGTTCCTACCTCCTAGGGGAACTGAAGAGACAGACCAGGGGCCTCCTACCCTTTCTGTCCTCCTGAGTCTTACTTCTTCCCTCCTGCCCCTTCAGAAGTAAAAGCCAGTCCTCCCCGAGGACCAAGCTTCCCTAACCCTCCTTGATAAACCTAACAAATCCCCTCCTTTAACAGACTCCGCTTAAGGAGGGATAGAGGGGGGCCCCTCTGATGGAACCTGGACTGCCCAGGTTTTTCCCCTCTGAACTATAGGGGATCAGATCCATCCTCCAGGCCCTTCTAACTACAGAAGAAAGACAGCAAGTCATCCTGGAGGCCCGAAAAAATGTCCCCAGGCAGAAGGGGAGATCCACTCTGCTCCAAAATGAAATAGACGCAGGATTTCCTCTGACCAGACCCAACTGGGACCCTGAAACCGTGGCCGGTAGGGAGCGTCTCCATCTTTATCGCCAGACTCTGTTAGCGGGTCTTAAAGGGGCCAGAAGGTGCCCAACCAATTTGGCAAAGGTATGTGCTATAACCCAAGGAGAAAATAAAACCCCTGCAGGGTTTCTAGAATGCCTGACAGAGGGATATCGGATGTACACCCCTTTTGATCCCACAGCCCAGGAGCATCAGGCAGATCTTATTAT